GGGGGGGGGGCTCTGGGGAAGACCCCCGCTCAGCCCCCCCTGAGGCCAGGGAGGACGTGGAGGGGGGGTGTTTGCAGGATGGTCTTCAACACCAGCCCCAGAAGCCCCCCCCCTCCCCCACTGGCCCAAAGGAAGGGGAGGTACACCCACGGATCTGCTTCCCACCTTGGCACCCCTGGGGGGTGTGGAGGGTGGAGCGGTGCCCCCCTCCAGGGTCTGAGTGGGGGGGCAAGTGGGGGAGGGGCTTCAGGGCCCTATGGGGCCCCCTGTGCCTGGGGGTGGGTGGGGGGCCGACAGGGGACTCCCCTTCCCTGCAGCCAGAGGGACCCCCACGACGGGTGGGTAGGTGGGTGTGGCAGCCCCCTTGGCTTCCAGCTGCAACCCACAGGTGCCCCCCTCCTTCCTTCCCTCCCTCCCTCCCCACTGTATGTGCCTCTGTGTGTATCCGTGCACCACGTGTGTGTGTATGTGTGTGTGTGTGTGTGTGTGTGTGTGTGTAGCGTGAACAAAGAGCCTTTTCATGGCCATTAAACCTTTGGGCCTGGCAAGAGGGAAGGTGGCCATCGGACGACGTTTCGGCTGACGCCCGAAAGGGAGGGAGGGGGTTCTACCTCACATGGAGACCTCCCCCTCCCAGAGGAGGCAGCCTCCACCCTGCCCTCTAAGCAGCTCCTCACCCCCCCCCTCCCCCAGAGCCAGCAGGCGAAGTCTATCTGACCCCTGCCCTCCCCCCCCTCGGCTCCGGGCCGGGCGGGGCAGGGGGGGGGGGTGTTTCCGTGGAGCTGCCGCCGGAGGGGCTTTTCGTGCTTTCCATGCACCCTCCCCAGCTGTGCCAGGCAGGGGAGCGAAGGTTCAAAACAGGGTCTCGGGAGGGTCCCAGGGGGCATGGGGGGTGGGAGTGGGGCTGGAGTACCTCCTCAGCCCTTCAGGGACTCCCACCTGCCACGCTCAGGATCCGGGCACTGAGGCAGTTCCTGGGCAGAGGCGTCCTGCGTGGGTGAGGGCAAGCTGGCATCCCTCGTTGGGCGCAGGGTCTGGGGAGAGGGAGGGCAGCTACACCAAGGGGAGGGGATTTGGGGAGGGGGCTCCGTCCTCAGCCAGCCTGCCCCTCCCTGTTCTGACCCAAAGAGCAAACACAGACAAAGTCAGTAGCCCCTATCATTTAAGGATTAATAACGAATTCTGTTCCTTTAAGATAAAAGGCTGCTTTCCACTAATTAGCTCCGACAAGAAAGAGCCTGGCCAAGTTGTTGGTCAAGGCTGCCAAAAACCCAAGAGATAAGAACTCATTGACAAGATTCTCCAAACACGAACTAAGATGTCCGCCAGTGGAGCTTCAGAGCTTCTTTGCTGTCTGCAAAAGAACGCTTTCCCAAACCTGGCTTTGATCCTCTTGAAGGAGGGAGGGGCCATGACCTTGCAGCCTTACTCCCGCGTCGCCTGTGCTGCTGTAACTGTTCTTTCCTCCGAGCAATCCTTCGTACGCGTGCACTTGGCACAGGCTCCTCGGGAACTTCCTCGTCACTGCTGCCAGCCCCCCACAATCCCGGAAGGCAGCAGTCCACTCCCGGATGGTCCCGGCCCCTCGTCAGAGTCCTCGCTCTCCTCAGCCATCCGCACCTGCTGCCGGCTAACCACAACACTCCCCGTCTCTTGCAGCAGATCCGGTGGTCGATGTCCTGGCGGCGCTGCAGCTGCAGAAGGAGCCCGAGGGGGTCCGCAAGACGCCAGGCTTCTGCCCGCAGAAGCGTGCGGGCTCCGGAATGGGCACGGCCTTCCGGATATCCAGGCGGGCCCAGATCAGTGCCCCAACATGGCAGCTCTTCCCAGGTATCCTTCCCCCCCACTCACAGGCTGCAGGTGGGACGGAGGGAGTTCGGGGTCTTTTGCCCAAACCTAGAAAAGGCGCTTAGCCAGAAATACTGGGACGCGGCGACCCCCATCATCAACGCGGCAAGCAAAGCTTCATCTGGGGAGCTCCGGCCTGCAGCGCTGTCCAGGGTGGGCATCACTTTTCCCCAACTGGCCTTGGAGACCCTTCCGTCCTGGCCACGGATCCCACCTGCAGCTGAGCCCCCTCCCCAGCTCTCCCCCCCTCATCCCCAGGTGACTTCCCCGCGGACTTCTCCGTGATGGCACTGCTGAAGGCCAAGCCGGGTCGTCCAGTCTTCCTGCTCTCCCTCTACGACCGGCACGGTGTGCAGCAACTGGGCATAGAGCTCGGCCGCTCTCCGCGCTTCCTCTACCGTGACCAGAGTGGCCGCCCCGCCCCTGAGGACTACCCGGTCTTCCGCGGGGCCAACCTGACCGACGGCAGGTAAGTCCCCTCTGCCCTCAGGGTGGGGGGGAGCCCAGGCAGCCCCACCATGCCAGCTCCTGGGGAAAATGGGGGGTCCTCCTGGGGGGGGGGAACCCCACGAGCAAGCAACACCAGCCAGCCAGTCACAATCGGGACACTGTGAGTTCGATCCTAGGTAGAGGCTGATATTTGGAATTGATTCTCCTGCTCGAGCAGGGGGTTGGACTAGATGACCTCCAAGGTCCCTTCTGACTGTTATTCTATGATCGATGATCTAAGCCCGTGTGATGACCTGGGGATGTGATACAACAGTTGCGAGGATGCCAAAACCCAGACAAGCCTCAAACAAAGATAATGCAGGCTTTGCTTCCAGCAAGGTGCTGTGTGCAAACACCCTTCTTATATCCCGTTCTCCTAGCTGCAAACTAATGAAAGGGATCAGGGCCCTTTCCTCTCCCATAAGCCATGTTACTCCCTTCTCCATTCCTCCCTACGTGTCTTAGGATGAAGAGGGGATGGCCCTGGGTCTTCCTCTGAATGCCCAGCTGGACTGTGTCCTTCCCCTGTTTCTTCCACAGCCACCGGAGCCACACTCCCACTCCCTGTCAGCTGCTCGACCTCCCCCTCAGAATCAGACTCCAACAAGGGCATGACAGCCCGTCTCTCCCGGGTCCCTAGAGGGGCGGGCGTGGCCTTCAGCGGCTGGAGGGCTCTCCTTGGGGTGCAGAATAGCCCACGGGACCCCAGAAGGCAGCTTCTGTTGGGGGTGAGGATGGAGAAATAGGGGGAGATGGGGGGAGCAGGTGGAGGAAGGGTCTCCCGGTTCCAAGGCTCTCGGGGGTCTCCTTCCTCGCCCACCAGCCTCCTCCCTATCCCAGCTGGCTCCAGGCAGTCCCCGGTGTCTTGCCTATAGTGAAGGTGGGGGGGGCCCCCCCCCCCCCCCCGGCTTTTTGGCTAGATGCTCCAAGTGGAAGCTGGAAACCCTCCACTCAATGGGGCTTGGCTTCGGCTCGGTGCTTGGGCCGGGAAGTGGACTGCCTGACCTCACGGAGCCCTGTGGCTTTGGGATTCCCCAGCTCATGTTCCTGGGCTGCGAGAGGCCCTCGGGGCCTTCTGACGCTGCCGGGGGAACATTCGGTCTTGGGGTTCCCGTTCCCTCCTCTCCCCCACCCCCCCAGGGGCCCTTTTGCCCTGGCTGAGTTGGCAAAACCAGAACGGGAGACGGGGAAGACAATCTGGGGCTCTTTGGTCCTTTGTCCACCGCAACGGCTGACGGAAGTCCGCCTTCCTGCTCTTCAGCTCCCCAGGCGTGGTCCCTGCTGGCTTTACGCTCTTCCTTATATTTAAGATCTGGGGGGTGGGGGCAGAGGAGGGGCAGGAGGACCTGAGACCTCCCCAGGGAGGAAGGCGGGAGAGGCTCCTGCCCCCAAAACACCCACCCAGGAGGCCAGAAGCTGTTTTCCTGGCACAGCAGACGGGCAGATAAGGCGGCGCCTGGCAGGCTCCAGGCGCCATTCTGCCAGCCCTTCTCTGGATGCCCGGCTCAGCCTTCCAGTGTCCGTGTGGCCTGCGGGGGCTGAGGGGGGTCCGTGTGGCCTGCGGGGTGCCCGTGTGGCCTGCAGGGGCTGAGGGGGGTGTCCCTGCCTTGCTCCCGCAGGTGGCATCGGCTGGCACTCAGCGTGAAGAAGAAGCAGGTGACGTTGTTCCTGGACTGCAAGAAGGAAGCCACCGTGGCTCTCCCGCGGGGGAACAGCCCTGTGCTAGACATCAAGGGCATCACCGTCTTCGGGGCCCGGATCCTGGACGAGGGGGTCTTTGAGGTAGAGAGCCCACCACCACCCCTCCCTCCTGCTGTTGTGGCTCTGAGCCACCCCTCCTCACCCCCCCGTGCCTCTTCCACCACCCCCTCAGGGAGACATCCAGCAGCTGCTGATCAGCTCCAGCCCCCAGGCTGCCCAGGACTACTGCCCGGACTGTGGGAGGGCCCCCCAGAAGCCCCAAGCCCAGGAAGCTCAGCAGAGGCCCCCCAGGCCTGAGGTGAGGAGGGGGACAATCTGGGGGGAGGGGTATCTATTTATTTGCCGAAGGTCCAAAGGAGGTTTTATGGAAGGGAAACGATTTGCATGCAGATTCGGAGGCCCAGAAAATTTTAATAAGGGGGGGAAAAGGGGGGGGCAGGCTGGGCTTTTCTGGAGAGGATCAAGGAAAATCACAGACCCCCCCTCCCAAAAAAGGGAGGGGTGCACCCACCAAATCTGCAAGATTTTAAACTGGGATGAAACCCTCGCCACAGTTGCTGGAACGGATGAAAGGAACTCCGCTTCGAACTTTGCAAAAAAAACACCACACATTGCATTTTTGTCCCTGAACGTTTCGTGAGCGGCTGTAATGGATCTTCTCCCCAGGGTTCAAGGGAGGGTTGGGGGGGGGGGTTCATTCTGCCCCTCCCACCCTGAGCCCATTGTGGATTGTTCTCCGCTGTGGAGCCGCCTGCAGAGCTGAGCCTTTTGAAGTCCGGTGAGAGCTCAGCTTGCCAAGCCGCTCCACTCAGATGGAGTCGAAAGATTTGGAATTCGGCGTCCGGTTCTGGTCACCATGATATAAAAAAGATATTGAGACTCTAGAGTGGAGGTCCCCAAACTCAGCCACTTTAAGCCTGGTGGACTTCAACTCCCAGAATTCTCCAGCCAGCTCTGGAGAGAGCAGAGATAATCCTCAGTTTAAAACCACAACTGTGCCCAAAATGTCCATCGCTAAATGAGACATTTCAGGGAATTTTTGTCCCATTTTACGACCTTCCTGGCCGTGGTTGTTAAGCGAATCATTGCAAGTGGGTTCAATGAGTAACCTGGTCGTTAAGTGAATCTGGCTCCTCCCCATTGACTTTCCTTGCCAAAAGGTCACAAAAGAGGATGACGTCATAAATATGAACCAATGGCCAAGTGTCCAAATTTGGATCGCGCGATCGTGGGCCTGCTGGAAAGGTCGTAACGGTGACAAATGGGACACGAGTCCCTTTTTTTTCAGCGCCGTTGCAACTTTGGACAGTCACTAAGTGCAGCGCCGTAAGTCGAGGACTAACCTGTACAGAGAAGAGTGACAGAAACAATTAGGGGACTTGAGACCAAAACAGGGGGTCATTCTGGGGGCCTACAGGTGGAGCGCTCGCCTCACAACCAGGAGGTTTGTGAGTTCGATCCTAGGGAGACGCTAATATTTTGGAGTAGACTCTCCTGCTCGAGCAGGGGGTTGGACTAGATGACCCCCAAGGTTCCCCCCAAACCTGTGGCACGCATTTGTGCAAGCACACGAGCCCCAACCAAACTTACCTGCGCGGCACATGCGCCTGCCTCCCAGATGATTTTTCAGCTCGTTTGAGGCCATTTTCACCCTCCTGGAGGATCGAAGGAGGCCTCTGCAGCCTCGGTAGGCCGAAAAACAGGCCCGTTTTTCGGCGCTTCTGGTATTTCCGGAAGGCCCGTTTTTCGGCCTGCAAAGGCTGCAGAGGCTTCCTTCGATCCTCCAGGAGGGCGAAAACGGCCTCAAGCGGGCAGGTAAGGAGGGGTTGTGGCACACGCCTGCACAGGGAGGGTGGGGAGCATTGCATTGTGGGTGCCGACCCGTGTGAGCTCTTTTATCCCATTAGAGCAAAAAAGGTTCGCCATCACTGTTCTAATGCAGTCGCACGGCTAGTCTGGTGAAGAGAAGGACCAGGGGAGACAGGATAGCAGTCTTCCAATACTTGAGGGGCTACTCCAGAGAGGAAGGGGGTCCATTTACTCCCCGTAGCACCGAAGGCAGGACAGGAAGCAATGGGTGGAAGGTCCCCAGAGGGGGAGACCTGGGGGCCCGGTGTGGGTCTGTCCTGGGGAGGGGCTTCTGCTGGACCAGCTCTTTCTCCGGCCACCTTCCTCCATCGCTGCCTTTGCGACCCCCCCACTAGACGCCGGCTAAGACGAAGCCCCCCACCAACGCCGAGGCGAAGAGGCCCCAGAAGCGTCAACTTCCTGGCCCCTCGCCCACCGACCTCAAGACCGACGGCTTGGAAGGGAAGCGGCCCGGCGGCCCCAAGGAGCCCCGCAACGGGAAGGTCTCGGCCACTGGAAAGACCCCCAAGGCCAACAGCCCCAGTGCCAAAGCAGCCGGCAAGGCCTCTGCGGGGAAGAAGGCAGGAGGGGGCCCGGCCCAGGCAGCCCGGGGGCCACGAAGCAGCTACCAGCAGGTAGAGCCAGAGGGAAGGGGCTGGGGTTGGCATGGGGGAGAGGGGGAGCCCTGAGCACCTTCTTTGGTCTGGTCTGGAGTTCATTTGGGGGGCGGGCAGCTGCTCCATCTGCCCCCCTCCAGCTGCAGCTGTGCGTTTCTCTTCGATCAGCCCCGGTTTCCGGGCCCAGCTGGGCGTGAGAGTGTCCACTTCCCCGACCCATTGATTCCTCTGGGTTGAAACGATCCCCGTTGCAGAAATTGGGTTCCCGGAGCCCGACGGGGACATTGGCACTAACCAACTAATCCTCCCTTCCGTCGGTCTCCTCTCTCGCTTCTTTCCTTTGAATTCCCCGCCTGCCCTCCGTTTCACGCCAACCCTGGTTTTACCTCCCTCCCTTCCTTCTTCTAAGGACCGGGGTCCTCTTCCCACCGAGCAGCCCCAGGCGGCCCACCAGCACCCCAGCCTCCCCCAACCTCCTGAGGCTACTTCCCAGAAGAGGGGCCCCACAGGGGAGGCCTCTCCTCCTGCCCTCTCGCCGCCCTGGGTGGAGGTAAATGACGCCCCCCGCCCCTCGTGGCCAAGCATGCTGGTACAGAGGGACTCTCGGCCCAGGCAGCAGGAGGTACGGGGCGCGGCAGGGCATCCCTTGCTGCTGGGCAAGGCAGTCCCACCGGTGGGGGCCTGGCAGGGGCTCAGGGGCTGCAGGCCTCTCCCATTCTTGGGCTAACACCTCGTTGGGTTCCCATCCTGCCTGGGCCAGGAGGCGGCGGCCGAGGAGGAGGAGAAGGAGGGCCTCGTGCCCGGCATGGCTCTGGACTATGGAGACGGTGATCCCAACCCTGGCGAGATGGGCCCCCTGCTCTCAGCCCAGGCCCCCTACGATGCCGTCGTAAGTGGGAGCCTCCCGTGCATCCTGTGTCACTGTCTCTGTGTCCGTCCGTCCATCCGTCCGTTGCCCGTTGCTGACCAGCTCTGCGGGTGCCATGATTCAGGCTGGGCTGCAGGCTGGCTTTAGTGGGGGGTGGGGGCGGTTTCCCTTCTTTTGCGGGTCTTTCGCTGAACCGTGTGTCGCTGTGGGCACTTCCGTGTTTCCTGTGTGTGTTTGTGTGTCCTGTCCTGGTGGGTGGCTGCAGATTTCTGTCGGGCTTCCGGTTTTTGGGTCCCTTCTGGGTTGGGTTCCTCCTGCCTTTCCCACCACCCACCCCTGGGTGGCGGCAGCACCTCCTACCCCTTGCCCTATTTTGCCCTGCTCTGAGCCCCTCTCTAGGCTTCACCATCTATGGTTCGACCTGCTCTGGCTTCTCCTGCACTTGCTCCCAGGTGCCTTATTTGCATGCCTCCGTCCCCCCCGTCTGTCCTTCCTCTTATGTCTGTGACATCACTCCTTTTGATGATGTCACTTCCTATGAAGTCATATGTGACATCACCCCCTTTTGATGATGTCACTTCCTCTGAACTTATATCCAGT